ATTCCATGAAAATGTAGCTCTATAGGAGAAAGACCTGCCACCAGCTGTTTGCTTAGAAATTCTAGGAACAATAAGGAGGCCTGCATCTTGTGACCATAGTGTAGATGTAGGTATGTAGGGCAGATCCGAATCGGAGAGATGGGTAGAAACAAATCCATGTAATGCTTTGTAGGTTAGCAGTAAAACCTTGAAATCAGCCCTAGCCTTAAAAGGGAGCTAGTGTAGATAGGCTAGCACTGGAGTAATATGAATTTTGGGGTTCAAGTAAAATTTTATCAGCCGTATTTAGCACTAGCTGAAGTTTATTTAGTGCCTTATCCGGGTAACCGGAGAGGAAAGCATCGCAGTAGTCTAATCTTGAAGTGTAAAATCATGGATTAGCTTTTCTGCATAATTTTTGGACAAAGTTTCAGATTTTTTGCAATGTTACGAAGGTGGAAAAAAGCTGCTCCTGAAATATTTTTTATATGTTCGTCAAAAGGGAGATCAGGGTCCAGAGTAACGGCGAGGTCCCCACAATTTTATTTGAGACGACTGTACAACCATCGCAATTTATTGTCAGATCAGCAGATCTCTCTGTTTCTAGGGACCTAGAACTAGCATCTCTGTTTTGTCCGAGTTTAAAAGTAAAACATTTGCCACCATCCACTTCCTTATGTCTGAAACACAGGCTTGCAGAGTAGGCAATTTGGGGGCTTCACCATGTTTCCTCAATGTACAGCTGTGTCATCTGCATAACAGTGAAAGTTGATCCGAAAACACCACCAAGAGGTAGTGTGTGTGTGTATATACAGTGGGGAAAAAAAGTATTTAGTCAGCCACCAATTGTGCAAGTTCTCCCACTTAAAAAGATGAGAGAGGCCTGTAATTTTCATCATAGGTACACGTCAACTATGACAGACAAAATGAGGGAAAAAAATCCAGAAAATCACATTGTAGGATTTTTAATGAATTTATTTGCAAATTATGGTGGAAAATAAGTATTTGGTCAATAACAAAAGTTTCTCAATACTTTGTTATATACCCTTTGTTGGCAATGACACAGGTCAAACGTTTTCTGTAAGTCTTCACAAGGTTTTCACACACTGTTGCTGGTATTTTGGCCCATTCCTCCATGCAGATCTCCTCTAGAGCAGTGATGTTTTGGGGCTGTCGCTGGGCAACATGGACTTTCAACTCCCTCCAAAGATTTTCTATGGGGTTGAGATCTGGAGACTCCAGGACCTTGAAATGCTTCTTACGAAGCCACTCCTTCGTTGCCCGGGCGGTGTGTTTGGGATCATTGTCATGCTGAAAGATCCAGCCACGTTTCATCTTCAATGCCCTTGCTGATGGAAGGAGGTTTTCACTCAAAATCTCACGATACATGGCCCCATTCATTCTTTCCTTTACACGGATCAGTCGTCCTGGTCCCTTTGCAGAAAAACAGCCCCAAAGTATGATGTTTTCACTCCCATGCTTCACAGTAGGTATGGTGTTCTTTGGATGCAACTCAGCATTCTTTGTCCTCCAAACACAACGAGTTGAGTTTTTACCAAAAAGTTATATTTTGGTTTCATCTGACCATATGACATTCTCCCAATCCTCTTCTGGATGCACTCTAGCAAACTTCAGACGGGCCTGGACATGTACTGGCTTAAGCAGGGGGACACGTCTAGCACTGCAGGATTTGAGTCCCTGGCGGCGTAGTGTGTTACTGATGGTAGGCTTTGTACTTTGGTCCCAGCTCTCTGCAGGTCATTCACTAGGTCCCCCCGTGTGGTTCTGGGATTTTTGCTCACCGTTCTTGTGATCATTTTGACCCCACGGGGTGAGATCTTGCGTGGAGCCCCAGATCGAGGGAGATTATCAGTGGTCTTGTATGTCTTCCATTTCCTAATAATTGCTCCCACAGTTGATTTCTTCAAACCAAGCTGCTTACCTATTGCAGATTCAGTCTTCCCAGCCTGGTGCAGGTCTACACTTTTGTTTCTGGTGTCCTTTGACAGCTCTTTGGTATTGGCCATAGTGGAGTTTGGAGTGTGACTGTTTGAGGTTGTGGACAGGTGTCTTTTATACTGATAACAAGTTCAAACAGGTGCCATTAATACAGGTAACGAGTGGAGGACAGAGGAGCCTCTTAAAGAAGAAGTTACAGGTCTGTGAGAGCCAGAAATCTTGCTTGTTTGTAGGTGACCAAATACTTATTTTCCATCATAATTTGCAAATAAATTCATAAAAAATCCTACAATGTGATTTTCTGGATTTTTTTTCTCAATTTGTCTGTCATAGTTGACGTGTACCTATGATGAAAATTACAGGCCTCTCTCATCTTTTTAAGTGGGAGAACTTGCACAATTGGTGGCTGACTAAATACTTTTTTGCCCCACTGTATATATATATATATATATATATATATATATATATATATATATATGTGTTTGTGTGTGTATATATAAGTGAAAACAATAGTGGTCCTAGAACGGAACTTTGAGGAACACCGAAACTTACCTTTGATTTGTCAGATGACAAACCATCCACAGAGACTAACCAATGTCTTTCCGACAGATAAGATCTAAACCAGGAAAGAACTTTTCAGTGTAGACCAATTAAGGTTTCCAATCTCTCCAAAATAATTTGGTGATCGATGGTGTTGAAACTTAGGTCTAGGAGCACGAGGACAGAAGCAGAGCGTTGGTCTCATGCCATTAAAAGCTCATTTACCACCTTCACAAATGCGGTCTCAGTACTATGATTAGGTCTAAAACCAGACTGGAACGTTTTGTATACATGATTTGTCTTCAGGGAGGCAGTGAGTTGCTGAGCAACAACTTTTTCAAAAAAATTGAGAGGAATGGGAGATTCGATATAGGCTATTTATTTATTTATTATTATTTTATTTTGGGGGGTTAAAGGTTTGGCTTATTCAGGAGAGGCTATATTACTGCCACTTTTATTGAGTTTTGTACACATCCGGAGGATAGGGAGCTGTTTATATTATGTTCAACATAGGAGGCCAAAAACAGGAAGTAGCTCTTTCAGTAGTTTAGTTGGAATAGGATCCAGTAGACAGCTGGAAGGTTTAGAGGCCATTACTATTTTTGTGAATGTGTCACGAGATAAAGGATTCGAACTGAGTCTGAGATGGCAATTGCAAAATGTTGATCTTTGTGTTCAATTAACCATTGCTTTATGAAGGGTGCCAATAATTCCAGAGGTGACTATATGAGTGGATTAAAGAACTACTTTAAGTGCCTTGGGGTTAGGTGTCCATTTGGAATCGAGCAATAGTCATGGTTATAAGCACATATCCCACCCACCCCTCCCTCCCTGCTCTAACTTCTACTTAGTTAAAATATTTTTTGTACAATAATACACAGTTACACAAATAACTCTATACTATCGTAATAATGTTTACATATCTTGCATTACCCATCTCATATGTATATACTGTATTCTATGCTATCTATTGCGTCTTAGCCTATGCCGCTCTGACAATGACATTGCTCATCCATATATTTATATATTCTTAATCCATTCCTTTACTTAGATTTGTGTGTTTTAGATATTGGTTGTGGAACAGTTAGATATTACTTGCTAGATATTACTGTACTGTCGGAAGTAGAAGCTCAAGCATTTCGCTAAACTTGCATAATCTGCTAACCATGTGTATGTGACCAATACATTTGATTTGATATAAGCATAAGAACATCAGAAGCCCTTTGAAATCCCCTATACCAATTTCTGGTGGAAAAACAAGACATTTAGTTTTCACCTCCACCATTCCTACTCTACAGCACCACAGTGTTTCATGTTTTTCAAGCTATAACATATGAAATTACCTGAAATTAATTAACATTCTTTAAAAAGATTGTAATTAAGTCAGTCATAGAAATATATTATCATATTCAAGCACAGTATATATCTTCTTTCTTACATGATTCTGTATTTAGATAGAATGGAAGGGTATAGCTGGCTCAAATGTGTGTGTGCTTAGATCAGGAGTGGGGGCTGGTTCGTGCGTGTGTCTCCCCCCACCTCCCTCCCCTGGGCAACACCTCTTCTCTGTTTGCCCTCCTCTACATCCCCTCCCTCGCTTTTCTCCTGTCATCTTCCTCATCCCTCTCTCCTGTGTCCGCTCCTCATAGTTCCCCTGGGAACCCTGTAAGGGAGAGAGAGACAGATCCAAGGGGCAAGAATTGAAACGAACACCATTCAAGAGGCTACAGACAATTGGTGTGTGTGTGTCAGCTCCTTTTAAGATGGCATAATATGGGCATTTTATGGTATGCAATGGTCATCATACTGGATTAATTATCTACCAGTGTCACGCATAAATAAATAAAAAAGTCTAGCACACATTTTCACTGTGAATTTCTTTGACATAGGAGTCATCAAAGTACACTTTAATAGAATATTATGCTAAAGATAAAGAATGTGGGGATAGACCAAGTAAAATGTAGTTATTTAACACTTAAAAAATGAATAATCTCTCTTTTAATGAAAAACCCATCAAGCTCACTTACATCTTGCTGTGAAGCTGTGTCTGTTTGTATATCATGACTGTAAACACATCTTGCTTTCACAATTTAATATTTGCTAATCAGCACGCACTGTAGGCTACTGCAGCCTCACTCTACCCATGATAGTCATTTTTGATAAGGTGTGAAAATGAAAGGAAGATTGAATAAGTGTGCTTCAAACTGTTTGCTTGGAATGATTTGTAGCTATCGTCTCCCGATGTGCATGAGATGCATCCGACTCAGTTTCCCTACCAGAAAACACACGATACCGGTAAAGTCTTGTGTATTCAAGCACCCAAATTCAGGAGGAGACTAAAGTGAGGATGGCTTGACTGCATTTTGCGAGTGTCTGCTCACTTGACCGCAGTAACATATTGTAGTTCTTTACTAAAAACATGGTCTAGTTTTGTTGGGTTGGTGAAGTCTTGCATGTAAATAGTGTTATTATTACAATAAAAGCAAAAATTGTGTAAGCCCACCTGTTCTATATTTCAACAGCAAGGTGAAGAATGCAAAGCTGTACCTCGCCTCTTTTGCAGCAGTCCTTGGTCCCCTGAGTTTTGGGTTTGTGTTAGGGTACAGCTCCCCTGCCATTCCTGAACTAAGCACAATCCCTGACCCAAGATTACAACTAGACGAAGGACAGGCTTCCTGGTTTGGGGTAAGATAACATTCTTGTCATGGGGCCCTGATCCCCCCCCCCCCCCCCCTCATTACCCCACCAGGATGAGCTTTGGATAATTGTCATGCTATAACAAGGACCCAGAGTTTTTCCTGGTCAGGTCAGGGCCCTAATCATTCCTGAGTGGATTAGTGGACATTAGCCATTTAATTGACTCTGTTTTGTTTTCTGCTTTGCAGTCTATCGTGACGATAGGAGCTGCTATAGGGGGTCTACTCGGCGGTTGGATGGTGGACAAGATCGGGAGGAAGCTGAGTCTTATGTTCTGCTCCATACCTTATATCTTTGGTTTTATCATCATCATTGCTGCTCAGCATGTCTGGATGCTGTATCTTGGAAGGGTACTCACAGGACTGGCAAGTGGGGTTACGTCGCTAGTGGTCCCAGTAAGTAGTATGGAATGTCTACTCTGATGCTATCTGCTTAAATTGACCAAGATGCATGACTGTATGAATGCCTGCTTGTATGAATGAATGCATTCTAATTAGTTTATTTCCTCATATATTGCTATTTTATATTGTACCTCTGTTTTATCGCTTCTAGCAATGTGTCATGCTGCATACTCTTCCTGTGTGAATCGTTTTTCACTTTTCTCTTCCTCTGTGCTCTAGCTGTACATCTCAGAGATGGCCCATGAGCGTGTCCGTGGGACACTGGGCTCCTGTGTTCAGCTCATGGTGGTCACGGGAATCATGGGAGCATATATAGCAGGTACGCCACAGTATTTTTCCGTTTGTTAGCAGCATTTGGATTTTGAGATTCAAACCGGTAAAATCATATGAGAAATACTTTAGGACATTTGTATACTGTATCTGGTCAGCAGACAGGATTTTACAAGCTCCTGACCATGTCACTAAGGGTTTCTCAGTGTTGTACAACTTTATGGCAGGGGTTACAACAGTAGTCATACGGGTAGAGGTCAATGTTTTAATGATGTGGTGTTTTGTTCAAGGTACAAACCACCATCAAAGGCTATTCAGCTGCAGAGTTTTTCCAATCCCAATCGGTATTGGCAACCAAACCATGATAATCATTACACCCTACTAACTGAGAGCTTTCTCAGATTTATTCCGGCCTCACAAGCCACCGCTATGCCTAATCTAGTTACCAACATACCATGCGTGTTTCTCCATTTACTTCTTTCCTCAATAGACAGTACCATTGCAAGAGAGGTTGGCTGTTTTGTCTCTAATATTTAGAGGCAATGGTCTCTGGCTGAGGAATGTTGTAAGGAAGAAACTTTTCATTATCCCATTGCCTGTATATGCTCTTCTAAATATGCATTTTAATTTAATGAACCGGGGTGATGGATTTGCCTCGTACGAACCATCCTGATCTCGTTCGTTTTAGGCTAGTGATGGATACTAATAATCAACATTCTACATTTTCATTGTTCATGTTCTGAAGTTACCTCATTTTTTAATATGTTTTTTATACATAAAATTACATAATATCAACAACACAGCTGTGGAATCTAGAACTTAATTGTTGGTTTATTTTCACACGGAATTACTCTACTAGGGTCATCACACTACTGCTGTCTCACATTCCCTACTCTACTGTCTCTCTCTGCTTCCAGTGACTCGCTCCTGCAGGTTCATGCTCTACAACATCCGTAGGGTACGACACTACCTCACACAGGAAGCAGCGCAGGTCCTAATCCAGGCACTTGTCATCTCACATCTGGACTACTGCAACTCTCTGTTGGCCGGGCTCCTCTCTTGTGCCATCAAACCCCTGCAACTTATCCAGAACGCTGCAGCCCGCCTGGTGTTCAACCTTCCCAAGTTCATGTCACCCCACTCCTCCGCACACTCCACTGGCTTCCAGTCGAAGCTCGCATCCACTACAAGACCATGGAACTTGACTACGGCGCAGCAAGAGGAACTGCCCCTCCCTACCTTCAAGCTATGCTCAAACTCCGTTCTGCCACCTCTGGTCTCTTGGCCCTCCCATCCCTACGGGAGGGCAGCTCCCACTCAGCCCAATCCAAGCTCTTCTCTGTCCTGGTACCCCAATGGTGGAACCAGCTTCCCCCTGAAGCTAGGACAGCAGAGTCCCTGCCCATCTTCCAAAAACATCTGAAACCCTACCTCTTCAAAGAGTAACTTAAATAATCCCTGCATCACCCTCCCTCCTCGCACCCCCTCCTCACCCCACCTTTTGTGAACTAACACTCGCACTTTACTCTTTTCCCCCTTACTAGCTCTGACTTTGCTGATGGCTACTTTATTGAGGAAAATGTACTTACTATGACTGAGATGTGGTTGTCCCACCTACATTTAGCTATCTTAAGATGATTGCACTAACTGTAAGTCGCTCTGGATAAGGGCGTCTGCTAAATGACTTAAATGTAAACGCTTCCCAGGGCTGTTTCTGGACTGGCGCTGGCTGGCGATCTGCTGCTCCATCCCCCCCACCCTGATGATGGTGTTCATGTGTTTCATGCCTGAGACACCCAGGTTCCTGCTGTCTCAGGGTAAACGGAGGGAAGCCGAGGAGGCACTGCGCTTTCTGAGGGGGCCAGACGCCCCTGCAGAGTGGGAGTGTGCCCGCATCGAGGATGCTTCTGACGACCAGGTGAGCTTTGTGTATTCCCTTGTAATCATGCGGTATAAGACTTGCTTTAAGAAAGGCATTATGCCATTTCACAATGTTTGAGACAAAGGTATTGATTGTAGAATAATACTCAGGTAGGGAGAGAGAGTAACACCTCTGTGTTGCACTTAACCAAATCAGTAGGAACATGAGGGACAATCCTACAATTTTAATCGCGGGACCACTCTTTACTTGCACGGTTATGTATCTGAGTGAATATATTCAGGTCAGCCCCACTACTGTAGGGAACCAGAGCAGAGATAAACTTGGCAGAGCTGAGAAAGGGTTGTCCTCCACATTGTGGATTTAGTCTCAGGAGAATCTGGAACAAAGAAGCATGTTAACACATCTGACCCATGTTAATTGGCATAAGAGGATGTGCTGACTGTGTGTGTTGTGTTAAACCAGGGAGGTAGGTTGGGGATGGCTGATCTTAAGGACCCTGGAGTATACAAGCCCCTTGGAGTGGGCATCATGTTGATGCTCTTCCAGCAGCTCACCGGCATCAACGCCATCATGTTCTATGCTGAGACTATCTTTGAGGAGGCCCATTTTAAGGTAAGAATTGTTCAGTGTTATTTTCTGTATTTTGGCAGCTGGAATGAGCAATGCTTTATTTATTGTAATTTTTAATAGATTAATTGGTTTTGATGTATTTTCATCTCATCATTACTCTTCATAAGCTGTAATATGATGTCTAAGTGCTATAGAGACTATGAATATTGACATACCAGTGGGGTTATATGTATTAAAATGACAGGTGATTATTTGCTTTTCAGAACAGCGATGTTGCTACGGTGGTAGTAGCAGCAACCCAGGTAGTATTCACTGCAGTAGCAGCATTGGTCATGGACCGCGTTGGAAGGAAGCTTCTCCTCATCCTCTCTGGTGCTTATGTCTCACAAGCGTGTGTCTGTCTCTGTCTGCATGTTATCAGTTACTTATCTTTCTTCCTCCACTGATTTATAATGCATCAATAGTCCTTTGTGGAAATCCCTCTCCAAAATTGTTGGGCAGAAATAAGGCGCTGTCAAGCTTGACATCAAATGACCAGACCCATGACCAAAACTGGGCCTCAACTACCTGAAAATCCATGTTCAATTGTGAAAAGAAATGCCCATTTATCTCTCTCGCTTCCTTCCTCACTTTCTCTATTAAGGAGTTTCTATGTGTCTAAGCACTGCTGCTTTTGGTGTCTACTTCAAGATGTCCAGTGAAACCCATGGTAACTCCTCAGAACTCTGCCTTGTAGAGAGTCCCCTTGCCCAGAACCCTGCGGCTGAGCTGTCATGGCTCGCACTGGCCAGCATGGGCTTCTTCATTACAGGTGAACTCCACACTTAGATTGTGACTATTGTTGCCCAGCGAACTATCCTGGCTAGATAAAAACAAATTGAAGTGAATTGTCTGCATTGCCTAGTAATGTTTTTGTTAGAGTATAGTTGGTTTAGTCACCTATAAATTCTTCCATGTGTTTTGAACTTACTATTAACCGTATAACCATTTATATTTTATGTTCAGATCGGACATTTTGCTTAGTGTGATGTTTTCTCATCGTCATAACTTGTGGGCAATTCAGGTTTTTCTCTTGGTTGGGGTCCCATCCCCTGGCTGGTGATGTCAGAGATCTTTCCCACGCGAGTAAAGGGGTTTGCCAGCTCTGTTTGTGTCCTCACCAACTGGGGATCTGCCTTCATCATCACCAAGACCTTCCAGGACCTGATGGTGAGCTGGTGTTGATTTGGGACATCCTGTATGGCAGATGTGGGGGATAAAGGGATGTTGAGCGGGCAGATAAAGAGTGCTTGGCAGGAAGCCATTTTGCAGTTATGGTTTTACAAATGTCTATGCGAACTTTAACAATGTTTTATTACAGATATACAAGTATTGCCATGTATACAGATAGACACTTAACGCGCCTAACAAAGGAATTTACTCCGCAGTTCATGTGTAGTGTCACAGTCAATACATTTTAGAGGATCAGCTCAGAGGTCTATAAGGTAATACTGGTAACTGTAAGGATGTATTTGGGTATTGTAATAACGATCCATGAAAATGTATCTCAGGACCTCCTGACCAGTGCTGGAACCTTCTGGCTGTTCTCTGGGTGTTGTGCGCTCAACATAGTCTTCACCATCATCTTCGTCCCAGAGACCAAAGGCAAGACTCTGGAGCAGATCCAGGCACGTTTCAAACGGACTACAGAACAATTACGCTACAGTAGACAAACTTAACGCCAACTATAAAAATCAACAAGGACAGAAGTACAGTTTGGAGGGTCTCATGATACTTTGTGATCGATAGTTCTCTGGATGGTCCTTTAAGATGGGATAATCTATCGCGTTCTCTTACTTGAAAAAGTATAATGGTGGTGGCTGACTATTATGCTCTACTCTCAGACTTAGTAGGGGGTCCTGCAGTGAATGCTGGTCCTCTTAAGCCCCCTTGAATGGTACTTTTACCCAAAAAAATCACTGGAGTAATGAAATTCACACAGATTCAAAAAATATTTATGCACCCAAGATATTTGTCAATTTTACTTATAGATAATAATAATAAAAACGATTACACAAACATAATGAAACACACTTTAAAAAGTATATATATTATAATTTTTACAATGCACAAACGTTTTTTACATTATTCAAATGTGAGAACACAAAGGTTACGTGCACAGATCTCAAGTAAGAATTTGGCCCATAATGATAATTGAATAGTTCAATAAGAATATTTTATTGTTGACTGATTTAATGTTTGGTTTATACCATGTGGTTATACTATGGGTTATTGATGCACTTGTAATACAGGTAGCTTTCAAATGCACTGAGCACATCTACACTACCGGTCAAATGTTTTAGAACACCTACTCATTCAAGGGTTTTTCTTTATTTTTACTATTTTCTACATTATAGAATAATAGTGAAGACATCAAAACTATGAAATAACACATATGGAATCATGTAGTAATCAAAAAAGTGTGAAACAAATCCAAATATATTTTATATTTGAGATTCTTCAAATAGCCACCCTTTGCCTTAATGACAGCTTTGCACACTCTTCACATTCTCTCAACCAGGTTCATGAGGTAGTCACCTGGAATGCATTTCAATTAACAGGTGTGCCTTCTTAAAAGTTAATTTGTGGAATTTCTTTACTTCTCAATGTGGTTGATCCAATCAGTTGTGTTGTGACAAGGTAGATTGTATACAGAAGATTGCCCTATTTGGTAAAAGACCAAGTCCATATTATGGCAAGAACAGCTCAAATAAGCAAAGAGAAACGACAGTCCATCATTACTTTAAGACATGAAGGTCAGTCAATACGGAGCATTTCAAGAACTTAAGTGCAGTCGCAAAAACCATCAAGCGCTATGATGAAACTGGCTCTCATGAGGACTGCCACAGGAATGGAAGACCCAGAGTTTCCTCTGCTGCAAAGGATAAGTTCGACTGCACTTGAAGAAACTTTCAAAGTTCTTGAAATGTTCTGTATTGACTGACCTTCATGTCTTAAAGTATAATGGACTGTCGTTTCTCTTTGCTTATTTGAGCTGTTCTTGCCATAATATGGACTTGGTCTTTTACCAAATAGGGCTATCTTCTGTATACCCCCCCCCCCCCCCTACCTTGTCACAACACCATTGATTGTCTCAACCACACTGAGAAGTAAAGAAATTCCACAAATTAACTTTTAAGGCACACCTGTTAATTGAAATGCATTCCAGGTGACTACCTCATGAAGCTGGTTGAGAAAATGCCAAGACTGTGCAAAGCTGTCATTTAAGGCAAAGGGTGGCTATTTGAAGAATCTCAAATATAAAATATATTTTGATTTGTTTAACACTTTTTTGGTTACTACATGATTCTATATGTGTAATTTCATAGTTTTGATGTCTTCACTACTATTCTACAAAATAAAGAAAAACCCTTGAATGAGTAGGTGTTCTAAACTTTTGACCAGTAGTGTACACAACACTGACACTTTCTATACAGGTGAACCTTTTAAACATAAAGAATCAGGAGAAACGAGAAGTGTGGCATGTTTTTAAATGCATGTCATTTTGATAACTCAAGCTGTACATTTGTAAGTGCACTAATGTCCTCTTTGAATTATAATTTTTCATGTCTTTTCAAATAACTAAATATGTTCATACTCACTTTTTTCCACCTTTCTAAAAAAACGTATGTAATTCATGTAATTTTGTTAAGAATGGTTATGTGATTACAATTTAAAGTATCAATGCACGCTGTAATATAATTGCCAGTGCCAAAACATTGAAACTGAAAGTGCTACGGTAGTGAATGGTGATAATATCCTGTTAATAAAAGAGACTTGTCTATATCATATTAGCTCTTAATATTTTCCTTACATATTCTATTTGTTTTTCATTCTGAATGGTTATGGTGTCTGTTCAGTGCGCACTCTACACTGAACAAAATACAAATGCAACATGCATCAATTTCAAAGATTTTACTGAGTTACAGTTCATATGAGGAAATCGGTCAATAAAAAATTGTTTATTTAACCTTTTATTTTAACAGGGAAGACATATTAAGACCTAGGTCTCTTTTACAAATGTGCCCTGTATATACAACATAAATATATACTTGACAAAAATATAAACGCAACATGTAAACTGTTGGTCCCATGTGTCATGAGCTGAAATAAAAGATCCCAGGAATGTTCCATACACACAAAAGGCTTATTACTTTAAAATGTTGTGCAGAGATTTGTTTGCATGCCTGTTAATGAGCATTACTCCTTTTGCCAAGATAATCCATCCACCTGACAGGTGTGGCATATCAAGAAGCTGATTAAACAGCATGAACATTACACAGGTGCACCTTGTCCTGGGGACAAAAAAGGCCACTAAAATGTGCAGTTTTGTCACAACACAATGCCAAAGATGTCTCAAGTTTTGAGGGAGCATGCAATTGGCATGCTGACTGCAGGAATGTCCACCAGAGCTCTTGCCATATAATTGAATTTAATTTCTCTACCGTAAGCCGCCTCCAACGTCGTTTTAGAGAATTTTGCAGTATGTCCAACCAGCCTCACAACCGCAGACCACATGGATGGCATCGTCTGGACGAGAGGTTTGCTGATATCAATGTTGTGAACAGAGTGCCCCATGGTGGCAATGGGGTTATGGTATGGGCAGGCATAAGCTATGGACAACGAACACAATTGCATTTTATCGATGTCAATTTGAATGTAAAGAGATACCATGACGAGACCCTGAGGCCCATTGTCGTGCCATTCATCCGTCGCCATCACCTCATGTTTCAGCATGATAATGCACGGCCCAAGGTTGCAAGGATCTGTACACAATTCCTGGAAGCTGAAAATGTCCAAGTTCTTCAATGGCCTGCATACTCACCAGACATGTCATCCATTGAGAATGTTTGGGATGCTCTGGATCGACGTGCACGACATTGTGTTCCAGTTCCGTTAATATTCAGCAACTTCGCACAGCCATTGAAGAGGAGTGGGACAACATTCCACAGGCCACAATCAACAGCCTGATCAACTCTATGCAAAGGAGATGTGTCAGCCTTTTTTTAAAAGGTATCTGTGACCAACAGATGCATAGTTGTATTCCCAGTCGTGAAATCCATAGATTAGGGCTTTATTTATTTATTTCAATTGACTGATTTCCTTATATGAACTATCACTCAGTAAAATATTTTAAATTGCTGCATATTGTGTTTCTATTTTTGTTCTCTCTCTGTGTGTGTGTGTGTGTGTGTGTGTGAGATAAGTTGGACCGCAGTGTGAAGGAAAACAGCCAACAAGTGCTCAGCATATGTGGGAACTCCTTCAAGACTGTTGGAAAAGCATTCCAGGTGAAGCTGGTTGAGAGAATGCCACGATTGTGCAAAGCTGTCATTAAGGCAAAAGGTGGCTACTTGAAGAATCTCAAATATAAAATCTATTTTGATTTGTTTAACACTTCTTTGGTTACTACATGATTACATATGTGTTATTTCATCATTTTGATATCTTCACTATTATTCTACAATGTAGAAAATAGTAAAAATTAAGAAAAACCCTTGAATGTGTAGGTGTGTCCAAACTTTTGACTGGTACTGTGTGTGTATATATATATATATATATATATATATATATATATTACACACACACAGTGGGGAGAACAAGTATTTGATACACTGCCGATTTTGCAGGTTTTCCTACTTACAAAGCATGTAGAGGTCTGTAATTTTTATCATAGGTACACTTCAACTGTGAGAGACGGAATCTAAAACGAAAATCCAGAAAATCACATTGTATGATTTTTAAGTAATTAATTTGCATTTTATTGCATGACATAAGTATTTGATCACCTACCAACCAGTAAGAATTCCGGCTCTCACAGACCTGTTAGTTTTTCTTTAAGAAGCCCTCCTGTTCTCCACTCATTACCTGTATTAACTGCACCTGTTTGAACTCGTTACCTGTATAAAAGACACCTGTCCACACACTCAATCAAACAGACTCCAACCTCTCCACAATGGACAAAACCAGAGCGCTGTGTAAGGACATCAGGGTTAAAATTGTAGACATGCACAAGGCTGGGATGGGCAACAGGACAATAGGCAAGCAGCTTGGTGAGAAGGCAACAACTGTTGGCGCAATTATTAGAAAATGGAAGAAGTTCAAGACGACGGTCAATCACCCTCGGTCTGGGGCTCCATGCAAGATCTCACCTCGTGGAGCATCAATGATCATGAGGAAGGTGAGGGATCAGCCCAGAAATACATGGCAGGACCTGGTCAATGACCAGCTGGGACCACAGTCTCAAAGAAAACCATTAGTAACACACTACGCCGTCATGGATTAAAATCCTGCAGCGCACGCAAGGTCCCCCTGGTCAAGCCAGCGCATGTCCAGGCCCGTCTGAAGTTTGCCAATGACCATCTGGATGATCCAGAGGTTGAATGGGAGAAGGTCATGTGGTCTGATGAGACAAAAATATAGCTTTTTGGTCTAAACTCCACTCGCCGTGTTTGGAGGAAGAAGAAGGATGAGTACAACCCCATGAACACCATCCCAACCATGAAGCATGGAGGTGGAAAAATCATTCTTTGGGGATGCTTTTCTGCAAAGGGGACAGGACGACTGCACCGTATTGAGGGGAGAATGGAAGGGGCCATGTATCGCAAGATCTTGCCCAACAACCTCCTTCCCTCAGTAAGAGCATTGAAGATGGGTCGTGGCTGGGTCTTCCAGCATGACAATGACCCGAAACACACAGCCAGGGCAACTAAGGAGTGGCTCCGTAAGAAGCATCTCAAGGTCCTGGAGTGGCCTAGCCAGTCTCCAGAACTGAACCCAATAGAAAATCTTTGGAGGGAGCTGAAAGTCCGTATTGCCCAGCGACAGCCCCGAAACCCCGAAACCTGAAGGTCTGTATGGAGGAGTGGGCCAAAATCCCTGCTGCAATGTGTGCAAACCTGGTCATGACCTACAGGAAACGTATGATCTCTGTAATTGCAAACAAAGGTTTCTGTACCAAATATTAAGTTCTGCTATTCTGATATATCAAATACTTATGTCATGCAATAAAATGCTAATTAATTACTTAAAAATCATACAATGTGATTTTCTGGATTTTCGTTTTAGATTCCGTCTCTCACAGTTGAAGTGTACATGTGATAAAAATTACAGACCTCTACATGCTTTGTAAGTAGGAAAACCTGCAAAATGGGCAGTGTATGAAATACTTGTTCTCCCCACTGTACGTGGCGTTAGCACAGGATGCACTGGA